TTTTTTTTTTTTTTTTTTTTTTTTGGCTCTTTTTTTCATTTATTAGTAAGGGAGCGACTGATGGGTCTTTGAGGCGTCGTATGCCACCCAATCCAAGGCTGTATGTTAACGAGCCTCGAATTTCAGACAAACCAAAACCAAAATGCGAAAAAAGCTATACGAAGAAAATGTAACCGAATCCGGCCATCCGAGGAAAAAAGTTTTGAGAAAAGCGGCGCCTCGCATTTACAGGGATAAAAAGCAAAGTTTTTGAGTGAAACGTACGACTACGGAATCGTGGCATCGCTCTTGAAATACGTGTTTCAATGTCATTAAACTGTCGTCTGCTTATTCACGCTTACACTCGCCAATGAATACTTTTATACACGCGAATAAAAAAAACTCGTGCGTACGTGCGCACATGTGCTCACCCCCACCCACTCGTGTTCATTTAATCTAGTGAATTTCAAGCGCTCAAAAATAGGGAATATAATAAAAGAAATCTTTATTCGTTCGATCGCTCTCTCTCTCTCTCTCTCTCTCTCTCTCTCTCTGCGTACGTGTGTGCGTGCGTGAGCGCGTGCATATGTGGGTGCGCGAGGGAGTGCGTAATCAGCGTATTATTATTTCGTTGATAGTTTTATGTTACGTTAATCGATTAAAACGGAGATATAATTGACAAGTCGATTATTTGGCCAAAATTGTATAGTAAATTGGCAATTAAATTTTATCAGATCCTTGAAAATATTAATATTCATTAATCTTCCGATTACTAACGTCAAGCTAACATCAATTTGAATTTATGCCTCATTAGCGGTTAATCTAATTGACATCTTGTTTATCAATACAAATTATTATACTAACTTTATTCGTTCGTTACTAAATTTGAACGTTTCAAAAATATTTATTTCAACAATTTTTAATCATCAGTATTTTACGAGAGACTTCAAACATTTTAACAACATATTATTTATTACATAAAACAAATGCAACGCGACAATACAATTAGGACCTTGATGCTTATTAATATACTTTAATTGTGTGCCATTGTCATAAAATAATATTTATAAATTTTAAAGAAAAAACAACAACAACTATTTTTTAACGTATTAAAGTTATAAATGTGCTCTGATGCTTTCTTAAAACATCTCAAGCATGTTTAAGAAACAATAATGATAATGATTCGTTTAAATGGTCTTTAGACTTACAAAATTATCAGTAAATATGTCGTATTAATGTAATACAGCGCTTTAAGAAAAAAATTTAATAAAATTATTCCTTACGTTCTTACATTGCATGAAAAATATAAGAAATTACGGCAATTATTGTTCGTTCGAACTTTCACCCAGACAAATAATAATTAAATGCCTAGTTAAAGAAAATTTTATTGGTCAGGTCAGCTCTCCTCTGCCAATTGGGAATAATAATTCTCAAAAAAAAAAAAAAAAAAAAAAAAAATAAAAAAAAAAAAAAATAAATAAATAAATAAATGTAACGCGCCACTCTGTTAGTTATTCCACAGTTATTCCATTCCAAAAACAATTAGTTAAGGAAGGGTAATTACGGAAGTAAAGAGATGACTAATATTTTCCACCAATTAAGCAGGCCCTATTTGTATTCGATAAACAGTGACAGATAAACGTAAGTCCAGGTACTTAGGACATGCGCTTTAATTAATTTTTCTTGCACGACTCTGCTAATGCATGCATCGTCTGACATTTCAAATGCATTGTTTTATGACGCAAAGGCGCGTCATTCTCGAGGAAAAACCAAAATACGTTTGTCTCATCTCGTGTCACGTCTCCTCTTCTGGTCCTGCTATTCCTTAAAATATCTCGTTTCCCGTTGATTTGCTGGGACCGATTTTAACGACTTTGACTTCTTCTAATGAGGCGAAATTAAGCGAGAACAAAATGATAAATCGTCCCATTCTATCCCATGCGAAATGTCTGCCGATTGCTAAATCACACACTGCTAAGTCACAATTTATAAGCGTATGTGTCGAGTAATGTTCATTGATAACAACGAATGATTTCCTTATCTGCTGCGTGAATAATTTTGTCGACGGTAGAACATTATTTTTAAACATAACAACACTTGTACAGCCCTCGAGTGAATCAAGATAATTAATTATGTCAAATCATACTACGAACGATCGTAACAAAACGACGTTCCAAATTACCGAATTAATTCCCTCGATCGATAAGCGCACTTTACTCAACCATAATTTTCCCGATCCATTGTCATAGTCCTTACGTACACACTCGTCAAATCTATTTTTACGCCGGTACTTTACATTGCCAACGATGAACTATTGGGAAAGGCAATTTATATACAAGCGTGATTTGCAATTTTCCTTGCAAAATGTCGCGTCGACGAGCTTCTTACGAATCAATGAAATATTTGAAGGAACCAAGACAAACTTTGTGTCTCGATACGAGATGGCCGTCCCAGCAAAACTGCAAAAGCTCTTTGCATAATTGTCTCTACACTCCTTTTAGAAGGTATTTGTATAAAAAAAAAAAAAAAAAAAAAAGGAATAAAAAAAGTTTTAAAAAAGTACGTTATTTTTGTAACGCTGACTGTATTAATATATTCGTGTTTTTCCAAATCGACGCGATATTCTTGAAACATGCGATTTGCCGCCGCCGCCGCCGCCGCCGCCACCACCACATGCAAATACGCGTCAACGCTTTTCCAAACTCAGGGGCTGGAAAAGCGTTCGCGATTGGATCCGCGGGAAAGCAGGAAAAGTTGAATGAGCGCGTCTCACGACGCCAGGGAACAAAGGGCGAATCGTTAATTTTAACGCGGAGGACGATGACAATGACGACGAGAATGACGACGACCACGATCACGACGACGACGATTAGGACGATGGCTACGACTACGGAGACGATGGCTTCCGAGCGAAAAAATTTCTCGCGCATGTACTACTAGTGGCCGCTCGCTCAGAGACAGGAGGGAGAAGGAATAAAGAGAAGACAGAGCGCGCGCGCGCGCTGACCCCTCCCCCCACCTGCCCCGCTACAGAGACAGAGAGGAAGAGAGGAAGAGAGGAAGAGAGGAAGAGAGGAAGAGAGAGAGAGAGAGAGAGAGAGAGAGGAAAGGCGTGAGCAAGACAACGGACGTCTGCTGCTGCGTGCCATGCAGCAAATACACAATACGTGTAATACGTATAAGTAGTGAGCCGAGGCATTGGTTTTACGTAGTGACTGACTGGCAGGCAGTGCAGCGACGGTTTCCAACGAGTTGACGTTGACGTTGACGTTGAGGCTGACGTTGAGGCTGACGTTGAGGTTGACGTTGAGGTTGACGCTGATGCTGACGCTGACGCTCAAAGACAGCGCTCGCTCGATATTACAAGTCTAGCGTCCATCGGCCAATCGGAAAGTAATCACACTCGCAGCTGATGAGGTAGCATGGAGCGCAGTTGGCCGTCGTCGTCGGCGATAGTAACACGCGACCGGAGCTGCCCCACTGCCCCAACAACAGCTGACCGCCACGAGTGTAGGCGGAACGCACTGTAGCGCTTGCGTGCGTTAACGAACCGCCGCCACCGCGGGGACAGAGATAGAGAGCGAGGAGAGGGATTTGTGTGAAAAACGGGAGAGGGGAAAGAAGGTCGCCCGGGATCCGGGTACTCGTCGACGTATGCAACCGCGATACTTGAGCAGCGACGACGCGACGATGTCGTTAACGAGCCATACCTACTGTCAGCCCTAGTCGAGCTAATCCCAGTCGTTTAATCGCAGTGTTCAATTGGAGGAAAGTCGACGGTCCCGACAACTCGTTCCGCAGACTCCTGGACAACTCGGCGAAATATGTTGAGCCTCGCTAGAGCTCGAGGCCAATCGCGGAGCTGCTGATGCCTCTGCGATACTCCGTGCGTTTCGTGAGATGACATATCACTGGGAACATTCCATGGACTTTTATTGGTTCTCGTGTATGTATTTTCATAATAAGGGTGCTGCTTACTGTTTATCCTGAGATTACCTTACGATTACTCTGTTTCGCATCGTTGGCTGTGAGACTATGTATGGATCTATGTCTATGGATCCTTGTACTGCAGCTGCTGCTGAACGCATAATTGGGCACGGTTATTCTTATCTAGTCGATGGTTCAACAACTTTACGTGCTCCAATTAAGCATTGTCGACTCCTTCGAATATGAATTTTTCTACGTGGAATGCAAATATTAGAATACATATGTTTCTTGATTGACTATTGATAAAAGCATCGTTTGTCATTTATTAAATTCCTTGCCAACTTGCTTTTCAATCTATTCTATAATAGAGCTTATAATTGAAATACATCAAAGCAGATAATAATAATAATTTAACTTTCTTGCATTCTAACTAATTCTGACTAATTGGAAATTTCATTGCACCCAATTGCAACACACTTTGTCAAGCGACATTTAGAAACCAGCTCTTTGTTTTGTTTATTTTAGCTACATGTCGTATAATTAATTATTGCCTGTTATAAAATTCTAGCATAAAGATATATATTGGTCAGGTATTAATATGTGCGGTAGAAAGATTAATGAATTCTTATAAATGAAAAAAAAAAAATAAATAATAATAAATCTAGTTCGACTCTGCCTAACTATTGTTTAACCGCTATAAAATGACATATCCGTTAAAATAGTTAAAAATTTGCTGAATTATGTCATGTTCTTTTTTTTTTTTTTTTTCTTTCTTCAATTTAACCTTGACAACCAAATCAACTTGACCTCAAATGTTTTTATTGATATTGCTAAATACAAGAAAGCATCAGATATTTTAAAGCCGAAGTTAATTATACTAACTCTACATTATTTTAATAGGACAGATTTATTTTAGATAGTTTATTTATAATTTTTTTATACGTACGTTGATTCACTAAATTATACATTATTTTTGTGTATTGATCCATGTGTGTGCAAGCATGTGCACGCTAATAGTTAAATATACAAACATGCGTACATCCGCATAATAAATATGCAAATATGAATTAATAATGGGATTTTTATTATTTTAGGGACACAGAAAGTGGATTGGTTTGAGCTCTTAATTTAGAAAAAATGTCAAGAAAGAGAATAAGACCGGTCGAAGAAACAAACATGGAAAATCATAAAAATGGAGATACTGCCTCTTGTTCAAGAGAAGATTCTCCTGTATTTGCTGTAAGTACTGTATGCGCATCGATATCATCCAAAGCATATTTCAATTTGAAACAAATTATATGCCGATAAATGTAAATTGTAAATATAATTGACAATATAATCGATCACAACAATCTTAATATTAATAATAATAACCATAAGTACTATAACATTATTTAAAATTTATTATTTGAAATACTATTCTTCAAATGCATAGTAAATTTTTAATTGGTGCTCAGATATTTTCAACTGTTTTCACAAATAGTTTATTGACTATTATTCTTAAGAATTTTTTCACTTGGTTATTCTTTAAACACTTTTAATTTATAAATAGCATTGTGCTAATTTCTATATTTTATTCAATAAATCAATGTCTATAAAACATAATTAATAAGCCCTTTATAAAATAATATATATATATATATATATATATATATATATATATATATATATATATATACACTTATATATTCCAATTCTCAAAGGCCATACTAAGGTATATTTCTACGCTTAAAAAAAGATAATAACATTAATTCCTTATGTTAAACAAATTTACAGATATGAAATGTGTTTGTAATCCTGTATTTTATAGAGAAAAAAAACCTGAGTCGCTCGATAACTCACATGTTTATTTTACAATATAGATAAATATAAAAGAAAAGAATTTACTTCCTAATGCACGTTTAATATTTAATAATATTTAATCATGGATTGCAATATCTAAAAATTTTGTTTATTTTACACCATCGTGTAATGAAGACAAAACTTAGTTAATGTTATATATGTTGAGCCTTTAAAAAAGAAAAGGACATAAAATATATCCTCGATAATCTCTTTTCAATACTTTACAATTCAAAATATTTAAAATAACAGCTAATATAAAATAACTTTATGAACATATTGGCATGGTTATAAAAGAGAATTTATGATTTATCGTTTTATTTGAATTTATGAATAATAGAAATGTAAAAATTCAATAGTTTTAAATCATTCTATTGACATTTTTAATATTAATATTAATTTTTTACGGTCTGTGCCTAAAAAGTTGCAAATTAGAGAACTGAGATGCTATAATACTTGCTATTGCAAGTCAAAAAGCAATAAATAGTTCTTAATATGTAAATCATATCACAATTGTATCTGCGTATAAAGTTATAATAATTTTTTTTATCAATTATAAATAATTATATGAATTTTACAAATAAATGAAAATTATATAAAAAGTATTTAAACAAATTTAAACGAACGCTACTACAGTTTAAAACTAATTATAATATATATATGGTAAATATTAAGTCAAATCACTAATAAAATAAATAAATTACTTATATTATGAAATGTTTGTACCGTTAATTTTTTGTTTACTCTTGTCACTTTCTTGGTAAATTACATAGTTTGTAAAACATGATTAGATAATTGAAAAAAAATTTTTTAACTACTACCTGCATAAAATTACATCGACATAATTAGAAATTCTTTATTTCATGGAACTATTTACACTATTATTTTAATATAAATGAATTTAATAAATCATTTTAAATTATTGGCAGCATTGGCCTTGAAGGAATATATTTTCTTGGCTTCTACACAATAGCAGCGACTTTTCCTCATTTTTTACGACTTATGGCTCTATTCCATGAAACATAAATATACTAAAACGTTAAAACGAATATTATAAAGTATTTAACAAACGTCAAAAGCTATTATTGATAAAGAAAAAAAAACGTCTATATTCATTTGTAGGGAAGAATTGAATTTCGCGGTTCGCGCGGACATAGACGTATTAATAATGTGATAAGTGTATGCATGGATATGCATAGTCAGTAGCGGATAAAAACGGATATTTATTGAGTAATAAAACGCAATGATTAGCAAGAGCATAATACATTATTAAAAAATTTCTACATAAAAATTGCGAATATAAATTATATAAGTTTATTAGTGAAATTTAGGGTTTGCCTTGCATTATTTTAACTAATTATATTCATTGTCAATCTACCGAATGTTGCTAGTCAATTATCATGATTTCTCTCTTCGATTCGCTACTACATTGACTCATGCTTTCTCACATTGACATTTGTTCAATTTGAAAATCCTTTAAATTACTACGGAATTAAATTAATAACAATCTTCTCCATTCGTTCGCCAATTAAAGCACAAACTATTAGCATAATATCAACAACAAACAATCTATTAAAAATATACAGTCAATGTCTAGAGACTTTTGGCGATGAAAGATTCATTAAAATTATAACTGTACTTTTATAATTTCTGTACCATCTCCAATTATATTATAGAAAATCGGTCATTATATGTGAAAGCTAACTTATTAATTAAATAATCGATTTCATCAAAATACTCATACTCAATATCATTCGATTTAGTGATCGTTGAAAAATCCTCGAGTTCTGTTACCGTCATTAATGCTTATTTAATTAACATAACCTATACCAAGCCACGTGTTCCTTCAACGTTTAATTCGCGCCTTTTTTCAATTTTGTATTCATTGCATTGAGTAGGGTATGTACGATATCAATAATGAACGTCTAATCAAATCATATCATTGCCTATATATCCATATATGCGTAAACGTCTGCATATGCATACGCACGCACACACGCGCGCACAAAACTCGCAACCCTAAGGCAAAAGCACAAAGGGGTACAATGGAGCACCACCCCTTCATCTAATGGATTTAAAATTTTTAATTCGATTTGTGTAATGCATTGTTGTGACAAGTAATAATCAATCGATCGGTCTATCTCGGAAATCCTAAATAATGAAAATATGGAATTTTTATATGGAAATTTATTTACTTTAGATATTAAGAAAATTGATTAAGAAAATTAGCTATGAAATTTAAATACTTTCCTATACAAAAGCATGCATCTCGTATGATATTTATGATTAAATTTCGTATTATTTTACGTATTATTTTGTTAATGAATTGGATAAAATATAAAGTGATATTTTTCTTAATTTAATATTGTTAATATGTGCGTTTCATGTAAAAAAAAAAAAAACAGTGACGTTAAATATATGATATAGTATACAAATATAAGTGTATATATTCTTGTCCGAAACGTATATTCTTGTATCGAAAAAAGGAAAATGAAATTTAAACAATGAATAAAAAATTTCTTATCATTATGAACATAAGAATTTTAATCTTCAAAATTATTTCTGCAGCTTCGGCAAATGTGAAGTACTAAATAAATATTATATTTTTCGAGAGGTTAAATAATTGATTGACAATAATATAGTTATAGTCGATATATTCTTATATATGTTCTTACCGTTTCAAGTACAATGATATTTTATCGAACAATATTCAGATAATAATTTCTATTTCAATGCACTTTTTCTCACCCTAATTCACGTTCTCCTGCATCGATGCCTTCCTTATCTTCCTCGTGTTATTGCCACAGCATGATACGCACTTTTTCTCTATCGTGCTGTCTCTCTATCTTTTTTTTATTTTTTTTTTAAATGAAACTAAAATTTTAATTTAAACATCGAAGAAAAAACTTAATTTATTATATTAATTTTTCTATTATTATTATTATTATTATTATTATTATTATTATTATTATTATTATTATTATTATTATTATTATTATTATAAAAATGGCTTTAGTGATATTATAAACTGTTTGATTAATTAAAAAGAAAAATGATTAATTAAATAGGTAAAATTTATACTCGTTAAATTGGAATAAATAGTTTGAAGTTTTAAAAATTTCCCCAAACCCTTATTCCTAATGCGTAAAATGTCTATTATATAAATAAATTATCTATAATTTATTATAAAATTCGTGTACAGTATATATATATATATATATATATATGCTATCAGATGATTTATAAATAATTGTATGAGCTTTAAAAATTTATTGTCAATGAATTTTTTATAAATATTTTTAAAATATTTCATTTCTCATTCTCACCAATTATTGCACTTATTCTATGCCAATGTTCAATTAAAATTAGTTGCGATTTTATAAATAATATTAAACTCTAGCATCTTAAACGATAACGCTGCTGTAAAATTAAAAGTTTTCCTCGACGACGACGACCTTTAAAAGTGAATAAATTAAAATTAATTTGAGAAAAATTATCGAATTTACTTGAGTGGCTTAAAAAACTTGGTCAAACCTATCGACCATTTTTATATAATACATTTTTTTTTTTTGTTTATTTTATTTTTTTATTTTTTTAATTGTTAAAATTATCGATAAGTTCGACATTAACGTTTGTAAATAATAGTAATAAGTAAAAATTTATTTCATATTATATCAATAATGTTCCGATCCGATAAACGGAACAAAAATGAATTTTATTATGTTAAAACACGTTTGTACTAATATTTTTGATATAACTTATAATAAAAAATAAGAGAAATTTAATGTTTAAAATTTACATAAAATATATTCCGCGGAAATGTTTTGTATTTTTTATTACATCTAAATATGGCAATAAGTCGTAATTAGTGCCATATTTGAATAATAATGAAATAATAATATGAAATATAATTTTAAGTTAAAAATATTTAATTAATATGCATTAATCTTGATATTGATATTGAACAGATTTTGCATTTTTACAGATAAAATTGTGCACATATTTTCAATGATATTAGAAAATTATATATTCAAAAATTCTTGCAAACTAATAATTTAGACTTGCAACTTTACTAACCAACAATGTCGTTACTGACAAATATTATTACGAAGGGAAAATAAATTTAAAGGAAAGAATATTTTAAGCTAGCATGCAAATTTCATTACTTTATTTGATTTGCCATCCCTTGTTAATATTAGTAAAATAACAAATTCGTTTTCCTATTGTATAAAAAACATAATAAAATAAAATCTAAATATGTTAATTCGAAAATATACACCAAATAAGTAACTGATCTTTCCTAATTTAATTATAAATTTCTTGGCAAATATTTTTATACGAAAATATTACAAATATATTATTCATCATTGTATTATTATATATTATAATTTTTTTTGTTATAGACACTATAGAATGATTTAGAACAGACAAGGAATTTTATTAAAAATTAATTATTGGAATGTAGGCGTTTTGAAATTAAATTTGCTCGGTCAAAATTACATTTAATGTATTTTGAATTGTAATCTACCGTCATAGATAAATCATTAGTTATCCAATATCTCCAATGTAAAACGATTCCATATAAATACAAACGATATGTTCAATTTGTCAAATTAAATATATAATGTTTCAAATAACTAATTATATATGCTCACATTGGTCTTATGACAAAAAAGAAAGAAAAAAAAAAAGGAAAGAAAAAGAAGAAAAAATAAATAAATTAATAAATAAAATGAATTTAGCTTTAGGTATGATAAATATTCTACATATCATGGTTAATAGAAAATAACGTGGAATTTCTTTCTAATTTTTATTTTGTAATCTTGCAAGATTCACGAAAGTTTACTAACGAACGACGAGCAGCAGAAAGTAAAAGCCAAAGAAAAGAGAAAAAGAGAGAGAAAATATATATAAAAAATTTTAAATATATAAAGCTATACACTGTTTATACTGAGGATAAGCAGTACATAACCGATCTAAATTTACTTTCACATAACAATTAAAATCACGTACATATACTGCTCTTACACATATCCATATCTTACCTTATCGCTTTGTAATTACTTGCGTACTTGTTTTTTTTTTTTTTTTTTGAACTTTCACTGTTGCAATCCAGGATGAATCGTAGGCTATAAAATTTATTCAGAATATTTATTTATTTATTTATTTATCTAATGATATATTTGATAAAAAAAAAGAAATGAATGAAATTCATAAATGGCTTAAAGAATTATGTTACAATGTCAAATTAATAAAGTAGTAGAATAATTTTTGTAAATTGAAATAAATTATTAAATTATATTAATTTCGAGTCATATCGATGAAATTCAAACAAATTAATTATAAATTAACGAGCACCAAATACTACTCAACATTTACGAGAAAATTAGGAATCGGTACAATTCTTTAATCGTATCGATAGTCTACGAAAACGAGAATAAGATATTATTTTGATTTATAAATTATATCATTTTAATTTTAATAATTAAAATTAGAAATATTTATTCGATAAATTAAATAATGACGTAGTAAATAGTTCATATTGTTACATTATCTCAATGATTTATGTGGATGTAAAAGAATTATATATGTAAATACAGCTGAGAATGAAAAATATACTCGTGGATCTCTAAATTATTATTTCGAAAGGTCTAATTAACAATCGAAATTTTACCATAAACATTACAATGTAACTAGACATTACATTAAACGATGAACTCACATACATTACGTACATGAGATACATATGCGTAAACAATGAGATAGATGACAAGTTGTGAATAATTGCGAGTAAGAGTTATATTGTTGGCGTTTGTATGAGCATTTATCAAAGCTGTAATATCATTTATATCAAATTGTCTTCAAATCGACCGACACATTGTTAATAAAAGTGTTGGACAGCTTAAACCGAAAGTATCCTTTACATCATCGAGTGCATTACATCATATTCTCAATACTGCATATTTATTAGCAATTAGTCGTATCGAAGGAGGTTTTTTCTTTTATTTTTGTTTTTTTGTTTTTATCCCCCCCCCCTTCAAATCTACTTTGAGCTTACTTTGAGTATGTTTAGATTGAATTTAATTTAAAAGGTACAATATTTAATACACCTTATTGTTTTTTTTTTTTTTTTTTTTTTTTTTTTTTTTTTTTGTCTTTTACAATATTTTTATTACATTATTATGTTTATGCTGTGCATATATCATACATAATATATCCATTGTCTTTCAATGTATTCTTTATTATCATTTTGCTGTGTTTTCTTTTATGATTATAAGTTTTGTATAATTTCAGTCCATCTGTAAAGAAGCTCCATTCAGCGATGAACCAGGAGCACTTGTAGAAGCAGATGATTGCAATTACAATATGAAAATATCGCTGGAAATGGCATGTAGTGGACACGGTATGTTAATATCTATAAATTTACAACGTTACAACGATCACTCCAATTGTTTTATTTTTTTTGTTTATTTAACGATTACCAAGTTATTAAGTTAAAAGTTAAAAATGCAGGAAGGATGAATGTTGTAATTACGAGGAAACAATAAGAATTGCTTGCGAATTAAGTGATTCAATTTTTTTTTATTCATCTCTCCTATCGTTCTATTACAATTTTTAGCTCCACGGAGAGTACGTGTCTACGCAGATGGGATATACGATCTCTTTCATCAAGGGCACGCGAGACAATTAATGCAAGCTAAAAATATTTTCCCTAACGTATATCTCATAGTAGGAGGTAAATACATGGCCGAACATAAGAAACGTCATTATAAAATAAATGCAAAACCTTAAATGTGATATTTTAGTGTGCAATGATGAGCTAACCCACAGTAAGAAAGGGCGCACAGTGATGACAGACTCCGAGCGATATGATGCTGTAAGACATTGCCGGTACGTCGACGAGGTCGTCCGAGATGCGCCATGGGAGTTGGATGACGAATTCATTGAAAAGCATAAAGTAATGCGATATTTGCACGAACATTTTACTCGGAATAGCAAGCTTTTTTCACGAGTCCTTTGCGAGCTACGAATTAATTACGTGATGCACACATAATCATTACAATGGGCGATTAGGCTTTCTATAATACCTTTCCCCATTGCTATATTTTATCAATAAAATGTTAATAATGATTTATACATACACTCGTACATACATGAGTGTATGCAGATGAATGTATGCACGCATGCATGTGCGTATGTGCGCATGTATAATTTATAATTTCGTTCGATAGTCGTATACGTAATATCTATTACTTATTCACTTACGATTGTCGAACGGAAGTAATGTAATTGAGCATTTACAATAGTATTCGGCGTCGCTCGGACAATTGGCAATGTTCAGTTTTATATACGATTGGTGTGAATAATACCGAATTCGAATTTGTAGATCGACTTTGTAGCTCATGACGATATTCCGTACATGACCGACGAAGCGGATGATGTTTATGCTAAATTAAAGGCGAAGGGAATGTTCGTGGCGACGCAGCGAACGGAAGGGGTCTCGACTTCCGACATTGTAGCAAGAATTGTCAAAGATTATGACATTTATGTGAGGCGAAATCTTGCTAGAGGTTATAGCGCCAAAGAACTCAACGTATCGTTTCTGAATGTAAGTTACAATTTTTCATATGAGCACGGAGTGGTGGCTAATTAGCCAGTAGCTTATTAAATAAAAATTTTAAGGACAACGAATAAGAATTTGAATTTGAATTTTTTTTTTTTTTTTTTTTTTTTTTTTTTTTTACATTTAGTTTTAGCATATGCTCTAGTAGCAGTAGTAGCAGTAGCAGTAGTAGTAGTAGTAATAGTAGTAGTAGTAATAGTAGTAGTAGTAATAGTAGTAGTAGTAATAGTAGTAGTAGTAATAGTAGTAGTAGTAATAGTAGTAGTAGTAATAGTAGTAGTAGTAATAGTAGTAGTAGTAATAGTAGTAGTAGTAATAGTAGTAGTAGTAATAGTAGTAGTAGTAATAGTAGTAGTAGTAATAGTAGTAGTAGTAATAGTAGTAGTAGTAATAGTAGTAGTAGTAATAGTAGTAGTAGTAATAGTAGTAGTAGTAATAGTAGTAGTAGTAATAGTAGTAGTAGTAATAGTAGTAGTAGTAATAGTAGTAGTAGTAATAGTAGTAGTAGTAATAGTAGTAGTAGTAATAGTAGTAGTAGTAATAGTAGTAGTAGTAATAGTAGTAGTAGTAATAGTAGTAGTAGTAATAGTAGTAGTAGTAATAGTAGTAGTAGTAATAGTAGTAGTAGTAATAGTAGTAGTAGTAATAGTAGTAGTAGTAATAGTAGTAGTAGTAATAGTAGTAGTAGTAATAGTAGTAGTAGTAGTAGTAGTAGTAGTAGTAGTAGTAGTAGTAGTAGTAGTAGTAGTAGTAGTAGTAGTAGTAGTAGTAGTAGTAGTAGTAGTAGTAGTAGTAGTAGTAGTAGTAGTAGTAGTAGTAGTAGTAGTAGTAGTAGTAGTAGTAGTAGTAGTAGTAGTAGTAGTAGTAGTAGTAGTAGTAGTAGTAGTAGTAGTAGTAGTAGTAGTAGTAGTAGTAGTAGTAGTAGTAGTAGTAGTAGTAGTAGTAGTAGTGGTAGTAGTAGTAGTAGTGGTAGTTGTTGTTATAGTACTAGTGATAGCAACAGCAGTAGTGGTAATAGTTGTAGTGGTAGCAACAACAGTAGTAGTAGTAGTAGTAGTGGTAGCAACAGCAGCAGTAGTAGTAGTAGTAGTAGTAGCAGCAGTAGCAGTAGTAGCAATAGTAGTGGAAACGACGAGAGTCGTGTAAAAGCATAAAAATGCGCTTTGCATTCTTAATCGGTCGCTTAGAAAAATAAAACGGAAATATTTCCTTCGATGAAATCAATATGTCAATGATAACCTTTCCATTGAAAATGGCAATGTGTCTTTGAAATTAGATAATAACATTATACCCGAATTTTTCACAGGAGAAAAAGTTCCGGTTGCAGAATAAGTTTGATGATTTAAAAGACAAAGGAAAGAGAGTGATCGAGAACTTTGGAGAAAAGCGAATTGACATGATAAGTAAGTGGGAAGAAAAGTCGAGGGACTTTATCGATGCGTTTCTTCTCCTTTTTGGTCGAGATGGAAGACTGGTGCGTATGTATCATATATATCCAATATTCATAGTGATTATATTTTTCTTGTGTATTTGTATAAGTTATTTACGGTTTTAACAGCACATCTTTATAACCGATTTAATATATTATTTAATTTATATCGATTATTACGCCCACATTTGTATCGTTTTCTAATGCATGTACAAAGCTTATTCGTATTAATTATAAAACGAGAAGAGCATATTTTTATACATCGCCAAAGTATTACTTTTCTATTGCGTAATGTTTTTTTTTCTTTTTTTTTTCTTTTTTTTTTCTTTTCTATAACGAAGAAGAACAGATAATGGAAATAAATACATTTTAACACAATAACTCATGGCTATTTTCTCTTTAGACATTGTTTTGTATATTGGCGCGAATTGTCACATGTACACTTGTTTAGTAAAACTTGAAATTAATAGCCCACAACCTCAAGCTAATTCATTATGGTGTTTTCTTTGATTTTTTTTTTTTTTTTTTTTTTTTTTTTTTTTTTAATCGTCGATAACGCCTACAGTCGACGATATGGAACGAGGGCAAAGGGCGTTTGATGCAGGCCCTCTCACCCCCCGCCAGCCCGAAGCGTGACGGCAGTCCCAATAGCAGCAACAGCAGCGGCTGCGATAACGACGAAGACAGCACAAGGTACCTCACAGCATTCGACTCCGTAGATTAGCTCGTCGGATCGTCATTCTTCACACTCCTCCATAACTACTCCTGCTTGCTTTAAATCAATGATGAATGCGTCTCGATTAACAACCACACGAGCTTTAATAATCTTTATTCATTGGGTTGGCTACAATTGTCATAAATAACATTTACTTTCGATCCTTCGACATGTCATTGTTAAGACATTGTTAAGCATTGCGACTACAATAACAATCCTGCTTTGTAAGTTCTTATGGTGAAAAGTGGTGTTGGCAGCTTGGATTCTTTCCTAAACGCTCATACTCTTTTTCTTTTTCTTTTGTTGTTGTTGTTGTTGTTGTTGTTCTTCTTCTTCTTCTTCTTCTTCTTCTTTTTTTTGTTTTTTTTTTTTGTTTGTTTTGTTTTTGTTTTTACATTTAATTGTTCCAAACTTGTGGACGTGGAAGCAGTGAAGGAGGCAGCTTTATCCGCACGATGCTAAGCATATTATTAATTAACCGCGATTACGCCCTTTGGCAGAAGCAAACCCGGATTCTGCGCGCCTTCTTGAAATAGCCTGTACACACGCGTATTTGTGTATTGTAAACGAGGTATTTTAGGCTCCAATTAAGGATACGCGCGCTGTATCACGACCAGCCAATACTGCCATTAAGTACTGCTGATGCACGCATATTGGTGACATTTCCATTTAATTTATGGATGAAGTTGTGCGATTTCTCGCGTTCTCCGACGGATGTGTTTTTTTTTTTTATTTTTTTTTTTTATTTTTTATTTTGATCATCGATAATAGCGACGCTCGCTAATGAGGAGATGCTCGTGCGGTATAAATAATTTGAGAGTGATTTGGCGCGAACCAAGGTGTATTCCTTCTATCAAGCGTTCTAACCCAAACAAATTGTACGATGAAACTTGCCGAGTACACTGGTTTTATGATTTATACCATTCGATGTTATTGACCCCAACGGAATGCTACAACTGAGTTGCAAAGAAACCTAATGAATGCCATCGATTCCTCTCCGTTATATCGAACCTACAGCCGAGAAAGAGCTACGTTAATTGAAGATTCGTTAAGAAGTAAAAGCGATTGCTTATGCAATTTCTGCATTCAACTTGAATAATCCGTCCGTGGAATGACAATAGAATATGTTAAAAGACGGGGGAAAAAAAAGTTAAAACGAAGAAAAATAAATATATCATTTTATTTTCATTATTTTTATATTCAAATTATATCGTTCAATTTTCAAAATTGACAAATTCGTGTTAAATATGCATATTACTTAGTTTAAATATTTATTTATCTATTCCTATGTAACTACAAAGTGTTCAACTATGCTGTGACTATATGCTTCAGTGCTTTACATATAATACATTAGATTTCAAATATTTTCATGTTTTCATATTTAAACTCGCGTATGCTTATGATAATAATTTCATAGATTGCCATTATCGTTTTAGCATTCGTTAGTTGTAACTGTACAAAATACCTGTATCCCTTCTTTATTGCAAAATATGGAGAAAACAATTCTGTTATAATTACGGTATGACCATCAACTTAAAGTTTTCTTTCCATTTTTCTCAAATTGCGGTTTAGTATAAAAATGGTTCCGAGTAAAACTTTTTTTTTTTTTTTCAAACACGGATAATAAGAGTTAATAAACTTTTATTAAAATTTTTATTCAACATTTTTAAGAAAGGCCGCCTATTACAGACGTTACAATTGAAAACAGCTTTTAATAAAAAAAAAAAAAAAAAAAAAAAAAAAATTAAT